TTATTATTTTTATTTTATGTGTATGAATGTATTGCCTGCATGTAGGTAAGTGCACCCGTGTCGTGCAGTGCCCATGGAGGACAGAAGAGGCTGTCACATCCCCTGGAACTGGAGTTATGGACAGTTGTTAGCTGCAATGTGGGTTCTGGGATTCAAACCCAGGTCTTCTGCAAGAACAGTGTTCTTAAGTGCTGAGCCATCTCTCCAGCCCCAAGATTTACAAATTTTTGACTATTGACTAAAAATGAAGAAAGTATATACAAAAATGTAGTAGACATCCAGCTTTCCTTGAAGTAGATTTAACTGAGAGGCCTTGGGCAGTGTTCTTTTCCTGCACCCAGCAGTCTGTTTGCTCGTTTACATTGTTTCCTTAGGTTCAGGGCTGTTGAATGTGTGTTCCCTGATTCCTTTGTTCATGGGGTGAGGTGAAGTCTCATATGTCTCTAAGACTTAGAGCCAGGGAGCCAGGGTGGGGGACAGTTACCTCATGGTTTCTGTGGCTAAGCGAGACACTCATGCAGCACCTCGCCCAGCATGCTGTATTATGTAATACCTTCTTGCATAATTCAGAATAGCACAATTCTTGTATTTGAAATCTTATTTTAAAAATTAAAACAATTTGTTTTAAAAGCTTGGATGCTTCCCCTAGTGCTCTGTCTTTCGAAACAATATGGAAAAATGATTTTTTTTTTGGTATCTTTAAATTATAATGATACATTTCAACACTTCATTTTTTCTGTAATTTAAAGAACCAGAGAACAGAATTCACACATTCCTAATAGGAGCTGCAGGCTTTTGTCTTAAACTTGAACATATTCCCAGTGTGAATGAGTTGAACGAAATTGCTAGATTTTTCACTGTTCCTTACCAACATTTTTATCAGATGAACTGAGAAGCTTCCAAATTAGGCTTCTGTTGAGTTGTTTTCTTTGTTTTACATTTGTTGAATTGTCTGTAAGTTAAAGTATTTTTTTTTTAATGTATTAGTTCTTGGAGAATTTCATGCGGTATATTTTGGGTGATTTTCCCTCACAACTCCTCCCAGGTCTACCCCTCTCCATCCCTCCCTAACCAGTGTTGTATCCTTATTTTAACCCATCATGTCCAATTCATGCTGCCCATATTGTCTTGGGTATGTGATCATACACTGGAGCGTAGTTGACCTACCCAGCCCAAATTCTTAAAGAAGCCTGACTCTTCCTCTCAGGTGACAATTGCCAGTAGCTCCTCAGCTAGAGGCATTTTTTATGTGGTATTAAGGGAAGGCTATTATGTTGGACAGAAGAACTCAGATTGTCTTTGTTCTTTTTATGTAACCTTAAGTGGG